TTTAGTTTCTGTTTGTCCTGGAGGCTTTTTATCTCTCCTTCTATTTTCATTGACAGTCTAGCTAGATATAGTATTCTTGGCTGCATATTTTTCTCGTTTAGTGCCCTGAATATATTATGCCAGTCCTTTCTGGCCTGCCGGGTCTCTGTGGATAGGTCTACTGCCAGTCTAATGTTTCTACCATGGTAGGTTACAGACCTCTTGTCCCGAGCTGCTTTCAGGATTTTCTCTTTGTCTCTGAGATTTGTATGTTCTACTATTAGATGTTGGGGTGTTGACCTATTTTTATTGATTTTGAGGGGCGTTCTTTTACCTCCTGGATTTTGATGCCTATTTCCTTCCCCACATTAGGGAAGTTCTCCGCTATAATTTGCTCCAATATACTTCCTGCCCCCATCTCTCTTTATTCTTCTTCTGGAATCCCAATTCTAATATTGTTTTGCTTTATGGTATCACTTATCTCTGGAATTCTTCTCTTGTGATCCAGTAGTTGTTTATCTCTCTTTTTCTCAGCTTCTTTATTCTCCATCATTCGGTCTTCCATATTACTAATTCTCTCTTCTGCCTCATTTATCCTAGCAGTTAGAGCCTCCATTTTGGATTGCACCTCATTAATAGTCTTTTTGATCTCAACTTAGTTAGATTTTATTTCTCTAGAAAGGGATTCGCTAGTGTCTTCTATGCTTTTCTCAAGCCCAGCTAGTATCTTTATAGTTGTCATTCTGAAATCTAGTTCTGACCGACATCTTACTAATGTCCATGTTGATTAGGTCCCTGGCATTCGGTACTGCCTCTTGTTCTTTTTTTTTTTGAGGTGAGTTTTTCCATTTTGTCATTTTGTCCAGAGAAGAATAGATGAAGGAGAGAACAAAATGCTAAAAGGGTAACAACAACCCCAGAAAAGTATACACTAAACAAATCAGAAGAGACCTGAAACCGGGGGGAAAAGAAAAGAAAAAAAAAAAAAAGAATGTGATCAGGCTGCTGAATGGAGCAGAGCCACACACTAGATTTTGGGTATATTTTGGTCTGTTAGAAGAAACTGCCTCCCAAAATTTTAAAGAAAAACATATACATACAAAAATAAGGGTAAATACAATGAAGGGAGGGAATATGACTGTAAAAATGAAAGTTAAAAAAGATTTTTAAAAAAGGAATTTATAAGAAGTTGGTTGAAAAAGGAAAGAAGAAAAATTTAAAGAAAAGAAGTAGAAAAAGAAGAAAATAAAGAAAATAAAAAAAATATCTTTGAAAGACTGAAGAATCATGGGGAAAAGGCCATGAATTCTATGTGCTGTATTCCCCTAGCGCTGGAGTTTTGCAGTTCTCATTGGTCAGTAAACTTGGTCTTGGCTGGATGTTCTTGCTGATCTTCTGGGTGAGGGGCCTGTTGCAGTGATTCTCAAATGTCTTTGCCCCAGGCAGAATTGCACCACCCTTGCCAGGGGCCAGGCTAAGTAACCCACTCGGGTTTGCTCTTGGTAGCTTTTGTTCCCTGAAGGCTTTCTGCGCTGCTTTGGAGAATGAGAATGAAAATGGCGGCCTCCCAGTCTCTGGCCCCAGAGGAGCCAAGAGCTCAGGGCCCCACTCCTCAGTGCACCCTCAGAGAAAAGCAGTCAGTCACTCCTGTCTCCGTGGTCTCCGGCCTCACTCTGAGCTCACCCAGCCTGTGCCTGAGCATTTCTGTCTCTGGCCCATGACCCCGTTTGGAGTCTCCAAACCCAGTAGATTCCTGAGGCACACTCTTGTGCTGCTCCTCCTGGGGGACGAAGGGGAGTCTCCCCTGATCTGCTGCTTGTTGGGCCCCTGCTCAAAGAGTGGTTGCCCGACTGCCGGCCATCATGGTTTATGGCAGCCCCAAGCTGAGAACCTACTCCTCAGCTCACTCTTTGTGGCCAGCTTTCCTGCTACCGATACCTGGGAGGTTCTGCCACACTCAAGCACCCTCAGTCTTTCTGTGACCCTGAGCGTCCTGAGACCACACTGTCCCAGCGAAGTTTCCACCCCCCACTTAGCCACTGGAGCAACGTCCCTCACCGGAGCAGACTTCTAAAAGTTCTGATTTTGTGCTCTGCTGCTCTATCACTTGCCAGTAGCCGCCTGATAGAGGCTCCCTCCACCCACCCCCCTGGTCTATCTTCCCATGTATGGCCTCGGATTCACTTCTCCGAATGTCCTACCTTCTAGAAAGTGGTCACTTTTCTGTTCATAGCGTTGCTGCTATTCTTTTCTTTGATCTCCTGTTGAGTTTGTAGGTGTTCACAATGGTTTAATAACTATCTAGGTGAATTCCTGGGACTGGGCGAAATTTATGTTTCCTACTCCTCCGCCATCTTGCTAGCCCACTCTCCCTTGACTGATTTTTCAGAAATATTTTTTATTGCCTTCGTGTTTTTTACTTTTCATATTCTCACTTAAATTCTTTCCTTTCCACTCAAAAGAGTCCCCTTTAATATTTCTTGTAAGGGCTGGTTTAATGGTGATGAACTCCTGTAGTGTTTGTTTGTCTGAGAAACTCTCCTATTTTGAATGATAACCTTGCTGGATAGAGTATTCTTGTCTGCAGACTTTTCCCTTTCAGCACTTTGAATATATCCTAACACTTTCTTATGGCCTGCAAAGTTTCTGCTGAAAAATCTGCTGATAGTCCTATAGGGTTTCCATTGTATGTAACTGTCTTCTTTACTCTTGCTGCCTTTTTTTTTTTAGATTTATTTATTTATTTTAGAGAGAGAGAGTGGGGGGTTGGGCCAGAAGGAAAAGGAAAAAAAGCAGACTCCCTGCTGAGCATGGAGCCTGATGTGGGGCTCGATCTCATGACCTGAGCCAAAATCAAGAGTCAGATGCTTAACCAGCTGAGCCACCCAGGCACCCCTTCTCTTGCTACTTCTAAAATTATTTATCACTACTTTTTGCCATTTTAATTACTATGCATCTTAGTGTGAACCTCTTTGGGTTGCATTTTGGGGGGATCTTTGTGCCTCCTGGATCTGGGCATCTGTTTCCTCTTCAAGATTAGGGAAGTTTTCAGCTATTATTTCTTCATATAAATTTTCTATCCCTTTGTCTCTCTCTTCTTCTTTTGAGATCCCTATAAATCGCATGTTATTATGCTTGATGGAGTCATTGAGTTCCCTAAGACCATTCTCAATTTGCATTATTTTCTTTCCTCTCCTTTGCTCAGCTTGTTACTTTCTAGTACTGTGTCTTTGAAGTTGTTAATTTGTTCCTCTGCTTCATCTAGCCTGCTGCTTATACCATCAAGTGTATTTTCTTTTTTTTTTTTAAAGTAGACTCCACATCCAGCATGGACCCCAATGTTGGGCTTGAACTCACAACCCTGAGTTCAAGACCTGAACTGAGATCAAGAGTTTGACGCTTAACCAACTGAGCCACCCAGGTGCCCCAACTATCAAGTGTATTTGTAATTTCATTTATTGTATTTTTGATCTATGATTGGTTCTTTTTTATCTCTGTGTTAAGGGTCTCCACTCTTTTCTCAAGTCCAGTGAGTATCTTTATGATCATTACTTTAAATTCTCTATCAGGCATATTACTTATATTGGTTTTGCTTTGGTCTCTTGCTGTGGTTTGGTCCTCTTTCATTTAGGCTTTTCACTGTGGAAGTCTATTTTTCACCCTTCTCCACACTATGGGCTTACTCTCCACTGTGGACAGCCCCATCCGTTTCTCTCCCAGACTGTGTCTTTGCCCTTCCTCCCTTCTTCAACGTGGCTTCCTCTCTACTTTTAATTGTGGCATTTGTTCTGCCAGTCTTCAGATCATATTCTGGGTTATTTACGCTGAAATGAATGTTATCTAGTTGTATCCATGGGATGAGATGGGGTTACGGTCCTACTCTACCATCTTCCCAGCCAACCCTCCTGAAAGTCTTGTTAAACATTTCCTGGATTCGGGCACTTGGTCAGCTCAGTTGGTAGAGCATGCCACTCTTGATCTTGGAGTTGTGAGTTGAAGCCCCATGTTGGGTGTAGAGCTTACTTAAAAAAAAAAAATTTCCTAGATTACTCATTAGGATAATTTGAGGTCACTGCTTTTTTTCTACTCCACCAGAAACAAGATTAACCAAACTTTTCCTTAAGGATATTTTGTTTGGTTCCTACTTTCCAATATTATCTGTTCCTTTATTCCAGTTTATAATTGTTTATTTTTAACAACTATCTTTAATTTTAATCCCCTATGATCTTAGAACTTCATTTCAGAAACATTTCAGAAATGTAGATTAACTATTCACTTTGATATCCTCAGTTAGGTGCAGTTTAGCCATCCTTAGTCCGTTCATCCCATACACCTGTGGTGGTTGGATCATGAAGACTAAATAAACACTGATGTGATGATGTTCTTTGGGATGAACTTGCTGAGTTATTGAGCCATGTTTAACCTTAGCAAATGGGGATTTTCATGAGGGGTGCATGGTGGAGAGTAGAATTTTTTCATGAAATTACACTTGGCTCAGAGACAGTAATACTAAAACACTAATTGTGTATGAACATGAAGTAAAGCAAATTTAATTTTTATTCTAAATTCTGTTAAGTAGTTTGTATAATTCTGCTAGAGTGTTTTAAAGAGTTTAAACATTAAAAAAAGGATCCATAGTTTGAACCATGGGATTGATGTCATCTCATGCCTCTTTCTTCAGCCAGTAGAATTTGTTTTTTTAATTCATTTTAGCTCCTCTGGCTTATGAGCCATTTTCTACTCTTGCTATGATATATGAGGACCAAGGTGACATGGAAAAATCTCTTCAGTTTGAGTTGATTGCTGCACATTTAAATCCTAGTGACACCGAAGAATGGGTTAGATTGGCAGAAATGTCTCTGGAACAAGACAATATTAAGCAGGCTATTTTTTGCTACACAAAAGGTAATTAAAATGTTTTTCTTATTTTGTTTGATAAAATGTTACATAGTAGATTTTTTGATAATTGTACTTACTACTCTGGGGTGATGTTAGCTGAAGTATATTTATTCCTTATATTCTGGCATCCCAGAGGTAAGTATTTGGGGGTCTCTCTGCTTTCGTGTTTATCAACAACTTTATATTGTGAGCTAATACAGCACAAAAGTTGGTAGAAGAACAGTACCTTCAATTTCCTGCTAAGATCATTGTTGGTTCTAAGCTGTTCCTTGAGGGTTAACATCACACGAGAGTGACCAAATGAAGATTAATATAGAGATTCAGGTTCTGTCTGGTCTTAGACTAAACTTAGTTGAGAGTTCCTGTGAAAGTAGTTTTGTTCCAGAATTAACCCACTTAGCTCTATTGGAGAATTAGTTTAGAGTGGTTTTTTTTGTTTTGTTTTGTTTTTTACAGACAGTGTAGAAGATTTATTAAACAGACAGGTGGGATGACAGATTGGTCGGAAGAAGTCATTCAAACAAAGGAGAAACAGAGAAAAGGGGCTGGGGCTGGGGGTGCTCTCAGGAATAACACGGGTATTCCAAGTGCTTTTATCATCTACCCTATGCCCTCTCCTAAGATTGTCTCAGTGTGCCAAATCCTTCCCCTTCCTTGAGGTCTTTGTATTGTCTGTTTCTTCTGCATGGCCCAAATTTCATGCTCCAAAGCTCCCCACATTTCATTCCTCTTCATTCAAATGTCTGCTCAAATATTACTAGTGGTTTTTATTTAATTTTCTGAAAAGAGGATTGGTCTTAACCAGGTATCATGAGCCCGTTTTTGTAGTAAATCTGTAATTTTTTTTTCTTTTTAGCTCTTAAATATGAACCTACTAATGTCCGTTATCTGTGGGAGCGATCAAGCCTTTATGAACAGATGGGAGATCATAAGATGGCAATGGATGGTTATAGGCGTATTTTAAACCTTTTGTCTCCATCTGATGGAGAACGTTTTATGCAATTGGCTAGAGATATGGCAAAGTAAGTTTGGAGTATATATTGATGCTCCTGTTAATCATCCTATTTTACAAATCAAAACACATATTTGAAGTAAAGTATATTTTTTTATTGAGGTTCAAAGAAGTGTTTTACTTCCTATATTTTTATACTGTGCTTAAATATAGAGGTAGTTTTTTATTTTTTTCAGTACTTTTCTGTTTGCAAGTCAGCTCTGTGGTTACTCAGAAAAATTTGTATGTACAATTGCCTTTCAAGTGTTCAGAAACTTAAAAGTGGGGCATGTTCTAAAAGGATGATTAGGTTGCCAGGTTTCCATGACTTAGTTGAAGTTATGTACATTTGCAGTTATATTATTTTTAATTGTTTGTTGTAAATGTGCTAATGAAATGTTTGTGATCTGGGGTTTTTTATAATCATTTTATCTTTAGTCAGTATTAGAATAACATTTTAAGACAAAAAAATGTTCTTTATAGTTGACATATGCTACTGACTGATACATATTTTATTCTAAAATATTATGTACTACTACGTTTACTTTCCAATATGCTGTACATCAAAGCAAAGCAAGAGCATTTGGCTAAATAACGTCTTGTCATAAGCTCTCTATTGTAGGGATATCTGTTATATAGTATTTCAGCCCAGGATCAACCATTTTCATCTGGGTATCTTAGGGTTAACCCTGTTAACTTTGTGGCCATTGTCGTGAAGATGCTTAGTTGTGAAATCACTCCCTGTTATCATAAGGATGGGTTATGTAAGAATACTAGAAGCAATTTTAAGTAATGTGTTGAGGCAAGGCAACTCTAAGTTGATCCTCTGATGTATATGATGAGCATTGAGGAACTTTTCAGGTTATCTGCTATTGGTCACATCTCTAGCTGTCATAGTGATTAGCCCACTAAGCCTCTATTTTATGAACTATTAGTTGACCTTTGATAGTAAATTTGTTTTCCACCTGTATTATTTATAATATTTTTGTTGGGAAAGTGTGAGGATGAATAGTTTTGCCACTGTCATAGAGATCCTTCCTACATGGAATTATGTTACCATAACTTCAGTTTATTAGGATTTCTCTCAGATGCTACTTTTCTTCCAGAAATATTTATTAAATATAAATTATGTGCTAGGCAGTGTTTAAGACACCAGGAGATCCAGTAGTGAATGAGTTATAATTTTCCTTGCCCTTGTGGAGCTTACATTTTAGTTGAGGGAGACAAGGAATAAACAAAAACAATGAAATATATACTATGTCAAATGTTAATAAGGGATATGAAGAAAAAAATGAAGCAGAAAAGGGATGGGAAGCTGAAGTATAGGGGTGTATATATATATATATATTTTTTTTTTTAAAGATTTTATTTATTTATTTGACAGAGAGAGACACAGCGAGAGAGGGAACATATAAGCAGGGAGAGTGGGAGAGGGAGAAGCAGGCTCCCCGCAGAGCAGGGAGCCCGATGCGGGGCTCAATCCCAGGACGCTGGGATCATGACCTGAGCCGAAGGCAGTTCCTTAACGACTGAGCCACCCAGGCCCCCCAAGGGTATATTATTTTAAATAGGGTGGTTAGAGAAGGACTCAATTCCCTATGTTATGATCATATGACCTGAAAGTAAACTGAAGGAGGTATGGGAGCAGATATTTAGGGAAGAGTGTCACAGGCAAAGGAAATGGCAAGTGCTGAGGTATGTTCTGGGAACAAGCTGAAGGTTTAAGGGAACATAGCAGGAGCTGAGATCAGAGAGATGTCAGGAAAAGGTCACTTGGCCCTAGCAGGCCATTGTAAGTGCTTTAGGTTTTACTCTGAATGAGTTTGGAAGTCCTTAGAAGGTTTTGAGTAGAAGAGTGGCATAATTTGACTTTAACTTTAAATCAGCTCTGACTGTTATTTTGAGGATGGTTTGAGGACTGGTAAGGGCAGAAGCAGGAAGACCAGTTAGGAAATTATTGCAACAATCTATGAAAGGGATAATAGTAGTTTGGTCCAGGATAAAAGTGCAGGAGGTGGTAAGAAGTAATCAGATTCTAGATGTATTTTGAAGGCTGAGCTCTCAGGATTTTCTGATAGGAAATGGTGTTTGTGTGTGTGTGTGTGTGTGTGTGTGTGTGAGAGAGAGAGAGAGACAGACACACACAGACAGACAAGGGAAGAGTTCTGAGGACTAAACCCTGAGGTCCTCCAGTGTTAGAAATCAGGAAGGTGAGGAGGAAACAGCAGGGATACTGAAAGGAAATGGGCAATGAAGTAGGTGGAAATGAAGAGAGTGATTTTCTAGAAATATTGAAGAAAGCACTTCAAGGAGGAGGGTTGATCATCTATGTGAGATAGTCCAGGTAGCTCATGTAAAATGAGGACTGAATATTGATGTTGGAGATGGGGTGGGAGTTCCTTGGGGATAGGCAGCTCTAAGGGGAGCAGAGGAATAGGGAGATAATTGGTATGGGTTATAGGGGTAAGAGATAATTTTTAAGTTGGGAAAAATTACAGTTTATTTGAATTCAGATGGTATAATCCACAATGGAGGAACACTTTGAAGATTCATGAGAGAAGGGACGATTGCTTGAGTGAGATCCTTGAGTAGGTTGGAGGGAATGGGATCTAGTTGGGGGTTGGCCTTATAAGTGGAGAAGGTAGAATATATGGCCATGGATATGTGTAACTAGGAAGATATGTTGGGAATATGTGAGATGTTATGATCTGGTTCTCTTTGCAAACTAAGAAGCAAGGTTATCAGCTGAGAATGAGGATCAGAGAGTTTTGGAGGTTTGAAGAGAAAGGAGAAGATGAGAAATAGTTGTCTAGGTCCTTGGGGCCTTGCTGCAGCATTTGCATCACCTGGGATCCTGTCATAAATGTAGAATCTCAGCTCTACCCCAGCTCTACTGAATCAGAAGATGCCTTTTTACAAGATCCCCAGTTATTTTGCATGCATATTCAAGTTTGAAAAGTACTGGACAAGGTAACTGTAGCAAGATTGCTGATCAGCACCATGGGCCCACTTGAGGCTTATGATTGTCAGTTTGGAGTGAGCCCAGTCAGCATGGACAGGTGGTGGTGAAGAGTAGGCATATTTGGATTAACAAGGGTTGGGGTTTTATCACATGACTTTATCAGAAAGGAGAGAGGGGCAGAAGTGAGGAGATGTGCAAAGGAGTAATTATAATGTTGGTCTGTGGAGAAGGAGGAAAGTGAGGGCAGGAAGCAGCAGGACATGAAACAGGTAGATGAATCCTTTGTAGATCCCACTGAGGTGGAAGAGTTGTTGGAATTAGGTGACAGGGAATGAACTGGAATGACATGAGGTAGCTTTTGGAGAGTGAGATGCTTGGCATAATGACATTGTCATACTGATGTTGCCCATTTTTTTCTGCATCAGCTGTGATTATGATTTTAAAGAAAAGTTTTTCTCCTCCCCAATTTTAAGAAAATGAAAATCATAGTTAATAGTTAGATGGTCTAAGCAAGGATATGAGTTTTATAATCTGAGTTAAATAAATATTCATCCATTTTGTCATTTATTTTTTTTAGGAGTTACTATGAAGCCAATGATGTTACTTCAGCTATTAATATAATTGAAGAAGCTTTCTCAAAACATCAGGGCCTTGTCTCCATGGAAGATGTTAACATAGCAGCTGAACTATACATTTCTAACAAACATTACGACAAAGCTTTGGAGGTAGGGAAATGTAATGTTTCTCTGTTAGATTTTGGACACATTTCTGCATTTTAGAAATTTATATAAATTGACAATTCCTCACTTTAGTTATATATAGTAAGCTACTTACATACTAAATTATATATTTAAAGTCTGTATGGAAACAGATTTCTAGATTCCATAGTAATTCCAAATGAAATATAACATATAGTTATATGATGAAAGCTCTCACCATTATCACAGTTGCCAGATATGTCTGTACTTCAGGGTAGCAGGACTCAGCAGCCAGACTGATGGCTATGATTCAGTTCCTAAGCTGTTGGGAAAAGTAGTTTGGTTTGATATGGAGGAATTCTATATCTTTAGGTAAGCATTAGTTCGTATGATATAAAAATGTTAATATATCACAGTGGTTCCTTATTTTTAAGAGACTTCTGCTTTTTATAGTCCATTTATATAAGGATTATTTGAATTAACTATATAAATCTTTGCGTTGTGAAGAGGTTTTTCATATATATCTGTTGTATCATTTTTTTCTCCATTCTTTTAGGTAATTACAGATTTTTCTGGAATTGTGCTGGAAAAAAATGCAGAAGAAGGAACTTCAGAAGAGAATAAAGGTTGTAGTTTTTTCTTCATAGGATAGTGTACATAATCCTCTTTTGTTTATAATGTGGCATTTTGAAATTGATAGTTAATGTTCTCATAACAAGTTTTCCCAGAAGCATTTCTTTCCTCATAGAGATTTTGTATCTTTTTCTTGTGAATATTTACTCACAAGAAATCTTCTTAAAAAAATCTTTTCATTTCTTAGTACATCCATTTGAACACAGCATTTCTCATTGCCTGGGGTCTTTTTAGTGACATGTGAAAAAAGAATGGATTACTGAACAGTATATCAAAAACTTTTAGATCTAAAGCAATTTAATTTTCAAAAAGGACAAAATACTCTCATTGAAAAATTTCTACTTCAAACTTAAGCATTCACAGAAAAAGTAGAAACTAATCTGATTACTGTCCTGTTTGAAAACTTAAAATACGTAGTTAGGAATCTAGTTAGAGAGTCATACCTGAGGTGTGGCTTGCAGTGTCTCTTTCAGTTCTCTTCCTCATCCCTGCTCTTTTCTTTGTATCACACCCATTAACTGTTCTGTGAAAATATTAGCATGCAAGACCCTGAGGTTGTAACAAAATTGAACTCTGTGGGCAGAGTAGATGTGCCTGTTCTTGTAAGAAAATTCCTATGTAATACCTTCCATCTCTACCCCATGAGGCTTTTGGTGGTGGTGGGGAAGGGTGAGGCACTTGGTACTTGAGTACTGCCTGCTTCAGAATAGCTCCCTCCTTGGCCTCATGGTGCCTAAAAATTCCATCATCATAAAATCCTTTGGGTTAAGGTATAATTATGCAAAATCAAAAAGCCTTTTATTTAAATGATCCATCCTAATGTAAAGTAGTAATTCATTTTTACAAATCAATTTGTGTGCTAATTCATAGAGTACAAGGCCCACGATGAGACATGGGACAGATAAATATTGAAGAGGAAAGTTGTTGGGGAATGAAAAGCCCACTTTGAAAAGAGTTTCTTATAAGGTCCTATGCTGGGTGTTTGGGGAATATACAGATGAATATGACATTTCCTGCCCTCAAGGAGGGGAAGTGGGGTTCAAATGAAGTATATACAATTTAATTATAGGAGGAATAGTGTGATAATTTCTGTAATAAACCTGACATTATGGGAAAATAGAGAAGAGCAATATACTAAGATTTAGAGGATGTTTCTGGAAGCATAATTTAAGTAAACACCGGGGGGTGGGGGCAGTGCATTTCAGACTGTTTTGCAGCCATATTTTCTGTTTAAGATCTTTCATCCCAAAAGTTACATTCCTGTTGCAAATTATTGCTGTCCATTGTTTTGAAAATATTAAGGAAAAATAGAGTTATGTTCAGGTTTTAATTATAGATATATTAGTCATTTTGTTGTTTAATATATTTTGCTCTGTTTCATTGATCTACCCCTCCTTCCTTCTTTCTTTACTTTCTTAATGATTTAGCATATCTGAATTCAGGAAACATCTTAACATAAATCAATGATATGTCACAGTTTAAGTAGTGGTGTTTTTCTTAGTATATAAAATAATGGTGCATCTGAAATCTGGCATCTTAGAGTTGATGAAATAACTTTTTAAAGAAAAGATATGTCCAGAAGAATAGGACATTAAAACACTTCCAGGGTGAGCAAAGATGGTTGTTTTTTTGTATGCATTTTTTGTTTTTTTTAAAGATTTTATTTATTTATTTGACAGAGAGGGAGAGAGAGCACAAGTAGGCAGAACAGCAGGGAGAGGGAGAGGAAGAAGCATGCTCTCCGCTGAGCAGGGAGCCTTCCGTAGGGCTCGATCCCAGGACTCTGGGATCATGACCTGAGCCGAAGGCAGCCACTTAACCAACTGAGCCACCCAGGCGCCCCTGTATGCATTTTTGAAAATGAGAACATTTATTGGTGGATTAAGCATTTCTATTGAGCTTCACAATAAAATGAGGTGTAAAATATACTGCTGTTAAAAATTAGTTAATAAACTATTATTTAAGCTATAGGGGCTATAATATCTACTGCCTTCTCTAGCATTGTCAAATTCCTACTAAAGTGTCTAAAGACTTACTCTTAATCTCTTGTACTTATCTGATTGAACTCGTAACAGCTTGTGGACCGCTACAGGTCGCAGACTTCCCTTTGAGTAGCACTGTCCTGTAGCATTATAAAATGTCCTTCTTACCTCTTAATTAAAATATAGTTGATAGGAATTCTACCTTGTCTGATGAGAGTGTGACCCCTACTTTCTTTTTGTTTGCATTTGCCTACTATATCTTTGTCCTTTTATTTTCAGCGTTCCTGGGTTACATGATTTTAGGCATATGTCTTACTTTCAACATAAAATTGAGTTTTACTTTGTATTTCTGAAATTAAATTTTTGTTTTATACATCTGTACATACTGTATCTTTAATAGGTATGCCATAGCCACTGTCTACAGAAGAATTGTGCTATGGATATAGTTGTGAGTCAGGTATACTAGTTTTTATCTTCATGGAGCTTATGGTCTAGTGTAAATAAATTTAAATGTTAGGACTTTCATTGAGCAAGACTAAATTTCTTAAGTTGGCTTTCTGTATCAGTTATTGTATTGGAGCTTAGTAATAAAAATAGTCTCTTAATTAAACTTGTCCAAATTCTTCTATGACTTCATAACTTTAGGGAGTTCTATAATTTATATGACAAATTCTATAAAACATGAAGTTATTTCATTTTAATATAATTTTAGTTTTTATTCCACCACTTAGGATAAATAAATCTCTGATGTTTCTCCATGCTGCAGTTTTTTTCTGAAATGGAAACTTATTTGGAATTTACTAGACTTTACAAAATACAAAATATTTTAAATGTGGATAAAAATTCCTTTGACTAATTTCTCAGGGCTTTAAAAATTGTTTTACTATAATGAAGTTTAGAAAACAATGTAGTATTTATTTTATCCCTTTCTTAGCCTCTGTGTCCTAAAAGCCTGAAAAGAGGCTTTTGAATTAAAAAAGAAAGAGCTCATATATACCTATTGGTTGTTTTTGTCTTTCTCTCCTTTTTTCTTTCTTTTTTTTTTTTGGTTTTTCTCTGTAGTTTTGATAGAAGGTGTGGGAGTTTATGTAGGTTTCAGATAAGTGGATAAACTATTAGGAAAAGAGTAGGAAGGATAATTCCTACCAAAGGACAGACTGATGGAAGTATAGAAACCTAGTAATAGAGTTGGTCAAATTAGAATTGGCTATGGAATCATTTACCCTGAATGAAGTAAATGAGATCTTACGTACAAGATGTAGTTTGCTTCATTTTTTCTACTTTCTAAGCCTGTATATAGGAACTGTTTTTTGTCTGTCCGTCTAATCCAAAGCTGGTGAGAATGTTACCTGCGCCATACCTGATGGTGTGCCAATAGATATCACAGTGAAGTTGATGGTCTGCCTTGTACATCTCAACATCCTCGAACCACTTAATGTAAGTAACATTAAGATCTGCACTTCAGATACTTCAGATCAAATCCACATTATTTTCTTTGACGGGAAATTGTAAGTTTTCCCTAAATTTCACATTTTTCAATAACCAGGAAGTCACCGTAAGCATAAATTATTTGTGTGTGAGTATCTTATAAAAGCTGAACAGGGCTTGCAATAATTTGTTTTTCTTTTTAAATGAGAACAACCCAGAGATCAGAATTTGAGATTGGGCTTTTTAGACATTTGGTAAATTCTGACAGCTCTTCTCTTTTGCCAGCTTTGGACTAGATTATTTCATTGAATAAAAAAAATTTATTGGGCATTCACTTTGCAGACCTTAGGATAAGGTACTGAATACAATATACAAATCCCTGCTGTCATAGATCTTTTGTTCTAATGGGATGAAATAAATAAGTATGTAAAATATAGGATGTTAGTTGGAGATAAATACTCTGGAAGAAAATCAAACAGAAGAGAGAAAATATTGGGGGTAGGAGGAATTGCAATTTAATTTAATTTATTATTTTTTTTAAAGATTTTATTTATTTATTTGACAGAGACACAGTGAGAGAGGGAACACAAGCAGGGGGAG